AAAAACCTACTTCGGCATTGCCTTGTGGGGTTCAAGATATACGATTGAGATGCCATTTTGTTTGTTCTTATTTTTGTTCTGTTGATAAATGGAGTCCTTTTATATTTGTTTCAAAAAATTGGAACATTTTATTTGTCACCACAAAATGTTGGTGTGGTTAGTTCTGTATTTATTGTCTGTAATATTAAGATAAGGTTGTGTACTGTTTAATAATAATATGTTTACAAGCATATTATTGCTGATAAACAGGGTGTTTAGAAAGCTTTTCAAGGTTGTGTACTGTTTAATAATATGTTTACAAGCATATTATTGCTGATAAACAGGGTGTTTAGAAAGCTTTTCAAGGTTGTGTACTGTTTAATGATATTATGTTTACAAGCATATTATTGCTGATAAACAGGGTGTTTAGTAAGTTTTTTAAGGTTGAATGGCCAGTCAACAATTTCAGGTTAATCTAACCAGAAAATAATTAATTATTCAAATATAAATTTGAAAGAATTTGGACATTTTTTACTTATTTAATTGCTAAGGAATCAGTGCTCTGATTTATTAATCTATTTATAAAGCTACACATTACTTAGATTTAACTGTTAGGTTAAACTTTGCAAAAGTCGAGTAAAATTGTTTCGTGATTAGGTTTATTTTTGTGAAAAACAAAGAAATTAGGATTTGCTGTAGTTTCAGATATTTTTTTTTTCAGTCTTTCAACATTCTGACTAAATTAAAAAGGTTTAATGACAGTATATAATACTGATTATTATTATTAATAGTGGCAATTACTGTACTTCCTTACCTTCTACAACATAAGTGATGTTGGATTGTTTTCTTCACAATTAGAGGTATGACACGTGAAACTGTAGGGTATGAGTTATTTAGTCTTGACTGTTGACATTCTGTTTACAAAACTCTGTACCATGGGTGTTATACAGTCTTATGTGTACTGAATCTTTTAGACGTATGATACTATACACCTTCTCTTGTATAAAAACAAACTTTCTGAGGAACTTTGCCAGGTTTATAAGTGTTTGTTTTCCTTTTTTTTTCAGGAAAAGACAATTTTATCACCTGCTCAGAATGACATGGCCCTTGGCCATATGATAGTTCTCTCACAATTTGATTGGCCACAAGAAGAAAAGCTTTTTCTTCATATTGTCAACATAATTAGAAAACAGGGAAGTTTCTGTTACAGTTTGTTCTTCAACTATGTCATCAGTATCCTTTTCTGCTAGTAACAGAAAGGTTCAGCTTGAAAAAAAAATCTTTACAATAAATCTGTTGATGAAATATGCTTTTAGAGAATTCTGCAGAAAATAAGCTTTAAAACCATCGTTGCTTATGTTTTCCAATTGCCCATAAACTTCTTTGTAGAAAACAGTGAAAATATTTAAAATTGTACATAAGCAGTGACAATCACCTTTTAAATATTCTGACATAACAGAAACACAAAATAACAGTAGTTACATTACCATAAGTTAAATCTAAGCAAAGAGCAAAACAGTACTTCAGTTTGTAACTGCTATCTACCAAGTTAAACACTGAAACATTGCATCAGTTTATATTTATATGTTTGTCTCTGCGGAGAGAAACATACTGTTTTTATATTGTTTATTCTACTTCTTTCTTCT